ATTAATATAAATTAAAAATATAAATAATATATATATATATATAATATACGTGTAATTGATGTTATAAAATAATATGTATTTATGTATATCTATTATATTATTAAATATATAATTTAATATTAATTATATTATAAAACTTAGTTAAGTTATTTATATAACAACTAAATTTATTGATATAGTGATTGGTGAAAGGTTGATAAGTCTCTTTTCATGTGCAAACACACGTGTCCATGCTAATTTTTAATCGATCAAATACATAAATAATCTAATTTATGGATCGGATCGACTGGGTTGCCAGTTCCTATTTGAACCGCGCAGTCATTTTTAAAACACCGAGTAATTACATTAAATAATAAAAGAAAATTTGTTACATGTGATATTCAGCAAAGACACTTTTTTTTGTTGTATTTTTCCGGTGTTTTAATTTGCCCACAAGAAGCACATGATTCTCATGCTGACGTAGTGAAAAACACCCCTTGGATACCTATCTTTTAAAAGCTGCTAGTGGGGAAATATTTAACCCGTTATACGTTGTCAGTGTAAAATTTTTTTACACTAGCAATTAATTATATTTTTTAATTGTGTTATGTCAATGTTAAAAGTAAATGTGTTTATAGTGACATGATATAATTAAAAAATATAATTAATTATTAGTATAAAAAAACTTTATACTAACAGTATATAGGTGATTAATTCATATTTAATTATGCACATTTTCCTTTGCAGGGGTACGAAGAAGGAGGAGAAAGATGGAAGATACTTGTTGTACATTTAATCAAGTGTACGTAGCTCATTATTGATCTTGAAGGACAGGCTGAGAGGGACGTCTTTTTAATTTATTTTGTCCTCCGGATAGTGGTTTTCTTGGTCAATTAGTTTCCCTTTCTTAAATCTATGGCTGAATATCAACTTAACCATTTTCAATTAGCAAGGAGCCACTCTCAACCGTCAACATTCAATTACTTTCTGAAACAGTATGGATTGTTTATTGTGGAAAATAAACCAAGTAAAATAAACCAATTATTATTGGTGGAGAAGGCACTAAGTATAATGCTCATTGCACTAAGTATAATGATCAGTGCACTAAGAATAATGCTCATTATTTTATTAGCACTAAGGTTGCACGTTGAATGACCACTAAACGTTGTCTTGTTTTTTGTTTAATATTTTATTGTGAACCTTGGCCTATAAAAGGCCTAATGTATTCGTAGGAAGTGTGCAGCAGAATCAAAACAATTCTTCCTTCTTCTTTCAATTTGAGTAGAACAATATTTATTTTACTTGTGAGCATCATGAGTTTCTGATATCAAATTGGTATCAGAGCTGGTTAGATCCAGCATTAGTTTTGTGAGTTTGTGAGAAAGTGAAAAGATTTTTAAAAAAAATACATCAAAGGTACTCTGACAGAAGGAATTTTCTATGATAAAGACTTTGATGTGAATCTTGTTGGATATACAGATAGTGATTGGGCAGGAGATATAGAAACAAGGAAAAGCACGTCAGGATATGCATTCAATCTTGGAAGTGGTACAATATCATGGTCATCAAAGAAGCAACAAGTGGTGGCGCTCTCAACTGCCGAAGCAGAATATATAGCAGCAGCAAGTTGTGCAACCCAAGCTGTGTGGCTGAGAAGAATGCTTGAAGTAATGCATCAGAAGCAAGATAATCCCACAGTGATATTTTGTGATAACAAGTCAGCAATTGCAATATGCAAAAATCCTGTATTTCATGAACGGTCTAAGCACATAGATATTCGGTTTCATAAAATCCGAGAACTGGTAACTGAGAAAGAAGTGTTGATAAACTACTGTCACACTGAAGAACAAATTGCGGATATTTTTACAAAGCCATTAAAAGCTGAATTATTCTATAAGTTAAAGAAAATGCTTGGAATGACAAAAATCTGATAAACTTGGTTTAAGGGAGGCAATGTGGAAAATAAACCAAGTAAAATAAACCAATTATTATTGGTGGAGAAGGCACTAAGTATAATGCTCATTGCACTAAGTATAATGATCAGTGCACTAAGAATAATGCTCATTATTTTATTAGCACTAAGGTTGCACGTTGAATGACCACTAAACGTTGTCTTGTTTTTTGTTTAATATTTTATTGTGAACCTTGGCCTATAAAAGACCTAATGTATTCGTAGGAAGTGTGCAGCAGAATCAAAACAATTCTTCCTTCTTCTTTCAATTTGAGTAGAACAATATTTATTTTACTTGTGAGCATCATGAGTTTCTGATATCATTTATGCCTAATGGTTTCTGTCTGATGTTAAACGCATTATTAAATGAAGCCAACGATGGAAACTGGGGTTGGAGGTGGCTCTTATAGTTAAGAAGAGGAAGTAACGCTACATCAGATGACAATTGACATTTTAACTATAGAATATATTTTATAAATACATGACCATGTATCGGTAAGTAATATCCATTTTGTACAAATCAAACTAAATCAATACCTCTTGCAAACACAAAGTATGTTGTTTAAATTAGGCTAGGCCACTAAAACTAATTGATCTCATCCTTTCATTGAGAAGAGAATTCGAGATACTAATTAGTTTGAAAAAAGAGCATAATCTTTGTAGAAGTGAATCGTTTTTGTAAATGATTTACATAAAACGACAAATTTAAATTTCATTTTTGTAGCCAAAAGATAGGCTGAAGAATGATACTAAAGATGGGGCAACGTGGCCACATGAATTTCATTGACGATGACACTCTGTACGTAGTACAGGACAAGATTCCAACGATGCATACATAACGTACCTCAATTTCCATTCAACGGAACCATAAACTCGATACCAAGATTTTGGTTCATTCAATTTGTTGAAAGAATCCAAACAGACATTTATGACCAAAATCCGTGACTAGGACAGCGATATTTATTTATTTATATGCTTCACTTTTGGTTGAAGACCATAATCCTCAAAGGGTTTACAACTACAAATTTGGTCTGAGATAAGTCTCTATTTTGAAAATTTTTACACTACAAGGAAAGTGTCATGTAACTACATATGTTTATGCAAGTGGTTATTTTCAATTTAGTTCTTATACGTATAATACATTTTTAACATGGTTTTTACATGTTGAGGATGAAATTATGAACGTGTATATATAAGAACCAACCGACAACGTTTGCATGAATACGGATAATTTAATAATTTTTTACATAAAAGAATCAATTTACGAATATGTGTTACGTGGAATAAATCATATGTTTAACCTACATATTAATATTCCTCAACTAATTCATTTCCAAGGTTTAGATAGTCTTTAAAGTTGATTGAATAGATAATTTTTTTCAGATCTCATCTTCTTGAGCTCTACTCATTTTATATGAGAATATCTTAACTTTTGGGGGGCAGAGGTATCTCAATCATTAGAACATCCAAACGTATAAAACGATCTCATATTATTTCCATTATTAAATTTCTGACAGAAATTCAATACAACTGAAATCACTATAAGATGTGTTAGCGAGGAGCTAACACTCAACCACAAATTTTATTCTCACGCATAGGAAGGCAAGCTAGCCTTAATATTATTTGACATAGATCTTCCTGTTGGTCAACAACGATTGACCAACATTTGTAATGCCATCGTTCTAAATTAACTTTACAAGCTTCTTTCACACCTAGTTTGGATTTTCCGTTTGTTTGCTATGCACACTGCATGAAATCCAAAATAAATGTGTATATATCACTGACTGGAACAAAAGCCTAAGAATCCCATGAACTCATTGTTGTTTATCATTTGAATGCTGCTCTCAATGCCAACGACACCTGAAAGAAAATAGTTACAATTAGACACTTGAATGTAAAATGTATTTCCTACTTGAGCAGAAAAAGAAAATAGTAGATCAACAATTGAGGATGGTTTTCCTTACCCATGGTGAGAGCGCTAGCGAAAATGACACCTGAGAGGATGAATACAATGATTGATGCCCTTCCAAGAAATGCAATTAATCTTCTCACAAAGAACTGTCCCCAGAAGCCAGCCAAAACAGACACTAAGGTGAGGTATAAAGCTGCAAAAAAAAAAATACAATGAAATAGGGTAGAGTTATATGCTTATATTATTCATAAGATTACATCAAAATAAAATGAATGTAGATTGATAGTGTTCTGGCCAAGCAAACTGAAAAAAAGGACTAGAGCGTGCAGAATTAATGTAAATTAATTACCATAAGCAATGGGGAACCTCTTGAGAAGGTAGAATTCAACCACAGATAATGATGATGAAAACATCATCACAAATGTTGCTGTGGCACTAGCAACCTACAAGATGATGATCAAACATTTGGAAGTTAAGTTTCTTGAATTATACTCCAAGTTATAACTATGTTAGTTAAGAGCATGTTTAGATATAAACTTTTTACTGAAAATAAAGAATTCCTTTTTCCACTACAGAAGCTCTCAGACATTTCAATTTGTATTTAAGCAAACTCTAAATTGAAAAGACGTATATTCTTTACCTGAGGAATGACACCAATCTCTAGAAGAAGTGGCCCCAAAACAAACCCACCTCCAGAACCAAGTAGGCCTCCCACTACTCCCCCTACAACGCCACACGATGCACAAAATGCAAGGTTTATGGCAGTCCATTCTATAGAAGCCTCACAGATGCATTCTAAGTTCCCTGTGCTCATCCTCCTTTTGTGCTCCTTGTACAACTTTACTGCTTCATAGCCAAACACCAAAAATGCAATTGGAAACTGAAACAGTAAGAGAACATGTGCAAGCAAATTAGGCCATGTGTCTAACTCCACTGCATATTAAGTAGACTAACATGATGAGGCTATGTAATTGCTCTTATCTAACCTGCAAGCCAAAAAGCACCCAATACCATGCACTGCATGCCTTTACATCATTCTGCAGATCAAAAACAAATATTCAATCAACAAAATTGTATAGACTTGTGAGTGACATAGAGAAGGAAGAGGGGTGGATGCACTTGCCTTAATGACTTGAACTAGTAGGAAAGAAACCCACACCACAATCAGTAGCAGAATCCTTTTCCACTTAAGGTTAAGACATAAAATTTCCTGAATTGTTTTCAGGCGAGAAAAAGGTATAGTCAGCAAAATTTGCATACTCTTTTCAAATAGAGCAAAATGAATAACTTGTCATATGTGAGAGATGTATACTTACAATAGTTGACTTCTCTTCTTTAGGAATCAACGGCTCATATTTTGTGTCGATTCTAACTGCAAATTTCAGGAAACAAAGTCACTAAGACTCAGTACACATTCAAAGAACCAATCTCATGCGTAAAAATATGCAGTTGAATCCTTGATGAATAGAAATTTTAATATGTACTCTATTTTTCTTTTCTTTCATTGATATGCAAAGATATAACTATTGTGGAAGCGCACATACCTGTCTTATCTTCGCCAAGCAAAGTCGCTTGCTGCTTGACTTTTTCTCTCTGCAAAATAGCAAACAAAAATTAAAGAAAAAGTCTAGTGAGAGACTTCTCCCCCAAAAGTAAAAACTTTGGTTGATGGCTTCATAATCTCAAATCATGAAAATTTCACCTTGAAAATAGTCTCTTCCCTCCACATATTGATTCCTTTGAAGAAAGACCTTGAAGAAGTCCCTGCACAAAAATTAAAAAAAAAAACACTTTATTTATTTTAAAAAATGAGACAAAAACACTTATGTGACTGTGGCTTAAAGATCAATTTATTCAAAGAAGGAAATTACAGAGACACAAACCTACGAAGAGAATGATGATAAGAACCGTAATAAGCCAGTAGGGGAAGACAACACTGAGAGCAACACCAACAGTGATCCCAAGCATAAGCATAGGCTGAAACAGAAGCGCCAGATCATAGTCTAATATGGGCACCTCTTTCGTTGGATGCGGCACTCTCACATTATACCAAACCGATGATGCTGATGCCCCCATTATCATACCTACACAACAAACAAAGTCAAGAACACCAAAACCAAAATTTTTCACAAGTCAAAACACAAAATACAAAAAACCAACTACAACCAACTAACAGTTATTAATGAACTAGTTCCCACCCTCCACACAGACACACAGACAAACAAAGACACATATTTTGGTCATGCCACTAGTATTCCCGTCCAATGAGATAGAGACTAGTCCTACTAGCAATATTGTGATTGTTGCTGGTTCAAAGATTTGTCCACTCAGATAGAGACTAATCTATTCGTGATACTTTTACCAAGGCTGATTCAAACGATTTTTGCAAAAGCGTAATAGAACACGGAAATTTTTCACCAAATATGTAACACTAATTTAAACCAATTTTTGGAAAGCATAATCAAGAAATTGAGGCCATTCCAAAAAAGTACTAGTCATAGTAGAACGTGTTACTGTTACATTTCGAAAGAGCAGCAGCAGATTTAGTATCAAAGCCAAGAAGCAGATTCAACATGGGAACAAAAATGCCTCCCCCTCCAACCCCACCAACTGTTCCACACGCTGATCCAAGAAACCCAATAACCGTGGCCAACACAAGTTTCCAACTTGGCTCCAAGTCCTGCACACATCACAACAAAACCATGCATTAACCCTTTTGTTCACCAACAAAGTTAAGCCTTAGAGAAGAGGCTTGTCTCCCACAACATTCTAAAGTAAGGTTCGAATTTCTGCATGGATAAGTACACAAGATTGTCTCCAAACTTGTTGGAAAAAAAAAGTATATAAAAAAAGAGACTTTCTTTATGTTTTTTCACAACATGAATGGTTGAGAAGAAGAAGTACTTACGGGCCAAACTTGAGGAGTTCCTGACACATGAGAGGTTAACAAAGATGCTTTGTTATCATGACGGGTATGGTTGGTGAGGAAAAGTGCAGAGAGAACAGCACAAGAGAAAGCAGATACGAGATAAACGATGAAGGCTCTGGAAGACAACATTGGCATGGTGAGGAACAAGACCAAGAACAATGGTCAATAGAAGTTGTAGGTTGAGTGAGGATGTGCAATTTGTTGTGTTCCACAGAGTCAGTGAGTGCAAATAACGCGCGGGGTGAGTGGTGGAACAGTATCGAATGTGTAACTGCGGCTATATAATAGTCACGTGGCACCGTGTCACTGGACGGTGGTTCATGAAAATCACTATTATTATAGTATTTTGTCTCAGGCCATGATTGATTGAATATTTGAGTATGATATATATTTGCTATGATTAAGTTATTTTATTTCCTATTCGATTAAGATTGCGTCTCGTACAGAATATGCTAAAAAGTGTGAGGATTCTTAATTCATGAAGAGGGGGTGGAGAAGTGGTGGACCTTTTCACTTGAGATGAAAGAATATCCACCAAGTTGATTATTTGAGTATGACCTGATACTTTGTACATTTAGACTAAAATCTTCACTCTTCAATTCTTGGTAGTATTTCTTTTAAATGTCAAAGCCAAAACACTACAAATCTTTACATGTTGAAAATAACATAAATATTTTAATATTTATTTTTTAATCATGTTATTGGAGGTGTATGGTAAAAGAACTTTTTTTTTCATGTCATATTTTTTGGAAATCATAAATATCAGATCATGATTCTCGTAAATATTTAAAATCTATTCGATTATTTATAAATATTTTTAAAAATATTTACATATTTTATTTGTGAATCAAAAGTATTTACTATATTGAACGATTAAATGAAGGTAATGTGATATTTTTCCTCAAAATATTACTTTCTAACTTTCTCATAAAAATAATTTTCTAAAAAATATATGTAAAAAATATTCTCAAGAAAAGATATACAAGGAATGATAATTTTTAATTAATAAACAAAGCATATGAAACTAAAGAGAATATATTAGATTGAGATTTCTAAAGAGTGTTTTAATATAAAAAAATCTTGTAGATTTTAAAAGATTTTATAAGAATATAATAATTTTAAAGATTTTTTAAAATATTTTTATAATAAAAAAATTGAATTTGAATTTGGATAAATTTATATCTTATAAATTAAATTTTTTTACGAGATTTTAAAGAATAAGATGAATTTCAATTTTTGAAAGATTGTAGATATTAAATTTTGTATAGTTATTTTTATTAAAATATATTTTATTTTATAGAAGTAAAGAAGAAATAAATTTATTTATTCATCATTCATCCGATCTTCTAAATATTTTTATGAAAACTATAAAAAAATGATTGAATTTAATAATATTATTAAATTTAACTATATATTATCTATACTAATAATAAGGAAGATATTCTCTTGATATACGTAATTTATTGACTATTTTATCTTTATAAATTTTATGTTATATTTTATTTTATCCTTTATTAAAAAAAAATTCAAACTCTTCGGTTATTAACCACAAACCATAATTTTAAAAACCGGATCGGTCATCGAACTGGTTAAGGTACTGGGTTAGTGGGTCAAAGGTTGAACCGGTGGGTCACTAGTTGAACCGCATGGCTCGATTTTTATTTAATTTTATTAAAAAATATTCATATTAAATATATTTTATACTTATAAATTTTAATAAATTCATTCTTATTTTAAATTTCAAATTTTCTATCTTATTTAAAATTATTTTTATTTTTATTTTGTAAAAAAATATATAAAAAA